GCATTTCTCTAATGCTTAATGATGTCAAACATCTTTTTGTGTGCATTTTTATCTATGTATATATTTTTTCCTCATTGAGTTTATTGGTACATTTTAGGTATACAGTACAGTTACATTCATTATTGGGATCTTGTACCTTTACATGACAGGTCTTGGTTCTCATTTTTTCCCCTTGTCCCTGCCCTCCCTTCGCCCCCTCCTCCCCTCCCCACTTACAAACACTTTATTTCCATTTTTTTCATTTTCTCATATTTTTTCCTTTTCCCTTATTATCTTTCCCCTACCCTTCCGACTTTCCCTATCTATATATTTTCTTCAATGAACTTCTGTTTAGATTTTTTTCTTTGTTTCTTAATAGAGGTGTTTATTTTTTAGATATTAAGAATTCTTTGCACATTCGAAAGTAGCCTACTAGCATCTATGTGAGTTTACAATTATTTTCCCATTCTATGGTTTGTCCTTTTCCTATTTTCTCAAGTGTCTTTTGTTGGGAGCAATTCAACATAATCTTAGGGAAAGTCATTTCGCAATTAAATCATGATTAGGGCCTAGTTTTCCTGCCTACAGGCCGGCAATGGCATGTGGAGACATAACTCCATTTTCACCTCCAGTCATAGCTAAAGCCTCAATAATGCTGTGATGTTCCAGGGCAAGATTACACCAGCTGAAAACATCCTGGGAGGAACAAAATCTTCATCTGCATAGCTCCTCATTGTTCTAGGGTTTTTGCTGATGCTACCCTTTACGGCAAATGTTGCATATGTTTCAGCCAATGTACGGAGCTCTGTCCTGAGTTCTCTGTTACATTTGCTTCTCCCGATGTACTGCATAAAGGTGGGCAAGCTGGGGGCTTTCCTCTTTGCTGCCCAGAGCAGCGTAGATCAGGCGCAAAGCTCAGCTTCTTCTCTAAGTCTCATTTTTTTCTATCTTTTCTAATAAATTAATTCACCTTGTGCTGCCATGGCTCACAGGAGACTAGGACTTACCGCAGAGGTTCTAGTAACATCCCTTTTCCCTGTTCCCTACAGTCTTTCAAAGAGCAGAAATTTTAAATTCTGATTAAACATAATGTATCATATTTTAACAATTTTTTGTACAATTGATATGAGAACTCTTCATTCCTGTGTTACAAAGATTTTCTCTTATGTTTTCTTCTAGATATTTTATGTTTGACTTTTGCATTTAGAGCTATAATCTATTTGAGTTAATTTCTAAATATTAAAATTCTGCCCTAAGTGGGAAGGGTAGGGGAAAGGAAATAAGGGAAAAGAAAAAATAAGAGAAAAGGGAAAAATGGAAACAAAGTTTTTGTAAGTAGGGAAGGGTGAAGGGTATAAAGGGAGAGCAGGGGTACCGGGAAAAAATGAGGACCAAGACCTGTCATGTAAAGGTACAAGATCCCAATGAAGAATGTAACTGTATGGCATACCTAAAATTTACCAATAAACGCAATGAGGAAAAATAAAATAAAATAAAACTCTGCCCTGAGGCACAGGGCAAAGATCAACCTTTTGTGAATGAAAATCCTCTTGTTCCAGCACCACTTTTTGGAAAGAGCTTTCCTTCTCTCCTGACTCACTTTGAGCTGTAGTTAGGCAGTTCACCTTAGCGAGTGGGTCTGTGCCTGCGCTCCCTCCGCAGGTGCCTGTGTCCGCCCTCCGCTTCCCCAGCCAACGTCACTGAGCCGTGGAACTTCTCTTCCACTGCCAGAAGTCAGGCTGTGTGAGGCCTCCAACTGGCATTTTCTCAAAATTTCTTTAGCTATCTGAAATCCCTTGAATTTCTATACATGTTTTAGAATTCATTTGTCAACTTCTATATACCAAAACTCTGCAATAAACTTGATTTTCTTCATTGTGTATCTATAGGTCAATTTGGGAAGAATTAATATCTGAGTATCAAATAATTTAACCCTCAACGTTGTATCTCTCTCCCTAAATTTAAGTCTCAATTTCTCAAAATGATTTTTTTTATAGTTTTCAGCACGTAAATCTTATTTAAATTTCCTTGGATATATCCAGAAGTATTCATTTCACATTTTTGATGCTTATCTATCATCTTCATCACTTATATGTATTTTAGCCTAAATTTCCAAATGTTGTTGCTAGAGAATAGAATTCCAGTCAATTTATGCATATGACAGTGTCTAATCAGATTTTAATCCCAATCAGTGCCTTTTTTATTTTATATATTATACATTTTTTCTATAGAAGCTTTACTCAGGTCTTTTTATATCTTTCATTTCTTCTCTCACCATGTCTATGCTCTTCTCAAGATTTTTAAATATGTGAAGTATACTTATAGTAGCTGTTCAAATATCTTTTTCTGTTAATTTTATTATCTCTGTCATTTCTCATTTTTTCATGTAGATATGGATCACAGTTTCCTGCATCTATAAATGTTCAAAAATTTCTGTTTGGCTGCTTTATTTATTTATTTATTTATTTATGTTTTAAGATATACTACATGGTTCACTCTATATAGTTCAGGCTGGCCTCAGACTTGGGAAAACACTGTTTCAGCCTCCTAAATGCTGGGATTATAGACACATACCACCACACTCACCTGGTTGCCTGATATTGTGAATTTTCAATTTATATAAATGTCACTTATATAAATTTATTTCTTTAAATAATTTGGGGCTTGTTGGGGAACACAGTTATATTCCTGGAATCAGATGAATCCTTTGAGATTTTCTTAAAAGCTTCTGCTTTTCTCCGAGCGCATTCGGGGTAGAACTGCCAGCCCACACTCCTGAGGTGCTCCTTGTGAGGGTGCTGTTCCACACCCTGTAAGTTGGAAGGACTGATAACTATGCTGCAGGGGGAGAGCTGCCATAGCCTGGGGAACTGGGAGCTCTGCCCACTTCTTTCTGGCAGTTCTTCCTCCAGCCTGGACTCGCTTCCTCTTGTGGAAAGGGTTCTGCTGTTCTAACTTCTTGCCTGCGTCTCTTTCCTCTCCTCATCTCAGTGAGGCCACATTCTTTTTGGGGTCCCCCAGCCCACTCTGCAGTGTGAGGGGACTAACAAGATCAAAATCTCTCACGTCACTTGTTCCTCAGGCCTGAGGTGCCTATTGCCTGAGACCTGAGAGCTAGCATTGCACCTCGACTGGTGTGATGCAGTGGGTACAGTGGGGGCTCCACTGGTCCACAGTGCCTGGATGCTGTGTGATCGCAGTTGTACTTCAATGCCATGTTTCATCTGACAGTCTCACCAATGAGAATGTCTCCTCTGTGCTCTGCTTCTGCATGATCTAAAGCACTCAGAACTGCCACCTGCAGTCACCTGCAAATTGATGAGGTGACTCCACACCTCCCTCCGGTCAAGTCCAAAGCAGTGGCTAAAAGGCAGAAAAGACTCAGTCTCCAAGATGTGACTGTGGATATTCAGAAAGAAATGGGATAGGTAAACCAAAGATGAGAAAAAGCACCTACAAGAAATGTGTACAGAATGTCACTCAGGTTGAGCCTATGCTGGGCTGACTTCCTCCCTGTGGTGGGGCACAATGTGGTGGTATTGCAGCTCCCCACCTGTGTTTAAGGCTGCTTCTGTTCTTACTCCCTCTAATCTCATCAGGTGCCCACAGAAAGAGAGAGAGAGAGAGAGAGAGAGAGAGAGAGAGAGAGAGAGAGAGATCTAGTGAGTGGTCAGACAGCAACCTAACACAGTGGTCAAGAGTTAAAGGTGATAGAGCCAACTGGATGGAGGCCAAGCAGGATGATAAACAGCAAAAGCGGAAGACGGAGTCAGAGTAGCAAAGAGATCTTTCATCTTGTTTGACTTTGTTGAGAATGATTCTCTTTTCTTTTCCTTCTCCCTCCTTCCCTCCCTCCCTTCCTTCTTTCCTTCCTTCTTTTCCTGGGAAAGGGACTAAGAGATGGAGGGAGAGGGAAGAGAAAGAGGAGGAAAAGAGGATTAAAAAGGAATTAATATGTGTTATGTACATGTAACAACTCCCCACAATGAATGCAATCATTATATCCTGCAAAGATGTACTAATAAAAATAAAGGGAATGGTAGATTACAACCTCCTTCACATCCAGGTCCTCTTCATGGTGCAGCCCTGCCCCTTACATGGCTATCCCATTGGCATCCTCACCACGTTACATACTCCGGAAAGACTAGGTTGGTTCCTCCAACCTGATGCCTCTCTTACCTCACAAACACTCCTTGTTCATGACCTCGGTTGTTTTTCCTGGGCTGTGTTAGGTGTCATCATTGGGAGATCATTTGCTCACAGGTGTCTATGCTTCAGGGACCCAGAGAAGCACCTCTTCCTCCCCTGAGCTTTCCTAACAATCAGCCTCAGCCTCTTTTCCTGAATCTGGGTCTCTGACAGTGGCAATGAACATTCCCCAGCAGATCAGCACTTGTTGACCAGAACAGTTGGGCCTGTTAGGAAACATCCAACACCTGTCCACTCCGTGCCAGGCCAAAGGACTTAGTGCCTCTTGACCAAAACCTCACACTCCAATCTTAAGCAACTCACCTGAGACCTCCGTGGCACCAAGGTGAAAGATCACTGAGCTATGTCCAGGATTATAAATCTTAATTCCTGTACACATTCATAGTTCTCTAGATTTTGTTCAGTAGAGCCTCTTTGTATGTAATTAAATTGAGTTTTGCATGAGATTTTTTTCATAGGTCAAAAAACCTGTGGTTTTTCTGATATGACCCTTCTTTTAAGCCATAGGTTAGGGATTGGTGAGACATTCGCCTGCGGCCAACCACATATGGTCAGGCCCATTCATTCATACATTGTGTATATGTGCTTCCAGCTACCACAGCAGATCGAAGCTGTTGTGACAGACACCATAGGCCTGTACAACCTACAGTATTTGTGGTCTGGTCCTTTGTGGAAGAGCCTGTTGGAGCCTGTCCTACGTGGGGACTGTTATGTATCAGGGTGGACCGTGCAATGTGCTCCATCGGGATAGAGTCCTGTAGCTCACCTGTCCAGCTGTCCTAACCACAGTGTATTTGCTTCTTTCTTCCTAGCTTCATCCCTGCTTTCCTGGCACTGCTGCTGTGGAGTCAGCACAGCGGAACCATCTTTCTCTGCCAGGCCTGCATCTTCAGTCCAGTGCGAGTATCACCATGGGCGAGGTGAGACTATTTTATTTCTTGCAGGAAGTATAATTTCAGCTAATGTTGGCTACTTGAATAGTGCACTACAGCTAACTCCATTTTTGTTTACTTCCCAGGAACCAGCGAATTCCACCGATAGTGATTATTTAAGCGATTACTCCGAGCCGGGTAGTGCTATGTCTTACCCATCTGAGGAGGGTGCCTTGCTGTGCTCCTTGCAGGAGGTCAGACAGTTCTCCAGGATGTTCGTGCCAATTGCGTACTCCTTTATCTGTGTCTTTGGCCTCCTGGGTAATAGTCTTGTGGTGACCACCTTTGCCTTTTATAAAAAGTCCAAGTCTATGACGGACGTTTATCTCTTGAACATGGCCATTGCAGATATACTTTTTGTCCTTACTCTGCCATTCTGGGCAGTGACCCATGCCACTGGTGAGTGGACTTTCAGCAATGCCGTGTGCAAACTGATGAAAGGTATCTACGCCATCAACTTCAACTGTGGTATGCTGCTCTTGGCCTGTGTCAGCATGGATCGGTATATTGCCATTGTACAGGCAACCAAATCTTTCTGGTTCCGGTCCAGAACTCTGGCACACAGCAGAATAATCTGCCTTGCTGTGTGGGTGGTGTCACTGATCATCTCCAGCCCAACATTTGTCTTCAACCAGAAATACAATACACAAGGCAGAGATGTCTGCGAGCCCAGGTATGACCCCAAATTAGACCCTATCATGTGGAAACTGCTGGGGCTGGGACTGCAACTGCTGTTTGGATTCTTTATCCCACTGGTGTTTATGGTATTCTGCTACACATTCATTGTCAAGACCTTAGTGCAGGCTCAGAATTCTAAGAGGCACAGAGCCATCCGTGTGGTGATAGCAGTGGTCCTTGTTTTCTTGGCTTGCCAGATTCCTCATAACATAGTCCTTCTTGTGACCGCTGCAAACCTGGGCAGAATGAACCGAACCTGCAGCAATGAAAAGCTCATGAGATACACCGAAAATGTCACGGAAGTCCTGGCCTTCCTCCACTGCTGCCTCAATCCGATTCTCTATGCATTCATTGGTCAGAGGTTTAGAAACTACTTCCTGAAGATCATGAAGGACATTTGGTGTGTGAGAAGAAAGCACAAGGCACTAGGCTTCCCCTGTGCGAGGGTGAACTCAGATGCCTTTGTTTCCAGGCAGACTAGCGAGATCATGGACAATGACAATGCGTCATCTTTCACTATGTGATGAGGACGTGCAAGTCAAATGACCTTAACCTTTGTGAAACTTGCTAATTGAAAAATAAGACACACACACACATACACCTTTCTCCATGGCCAAATATGCATGGTAAATGTGGAAATTAGATAAAACTAGGAGCTATCTCTCTTACAGATCAGGGACTTCCTGTGACCCAGCTGTAAAATCTCTTCATGGGGTGGTGGTGGGAGGTGGGTGGGCTCTACAAGCAGCTTTCCCTAACTGTGCCTGAGAAGAAAGACTTGTGGTCTAAGGCCTCACAGGGTTGTCTTTCCACAAAACAGGTTGTGGGAAATGCTAAATTAAAGTGAATTGCTTAGGTATGTAAATTTTAAAGAAATATTTGTGATGCAGTTATAGACCACAGAATTTCCTAGCAACAAATGATGACATAGTTAAAAAAAAGAAAACCCAGAAGCCCTCCTGTAAATCATTTTAGGCAAACATTTAAACATTTTGTTCTCAAAGTGTTTGTTGCTGGCTAATGGTAAGCAGCAATATTTTTCATCTGTTTGTTTATTTGTTTGTTTTTTGAGACAGGGTCTCACTATGTAGTTGAGACTGACCTGGAATTCACTATGTAGCCCAGGCTGGTCTTGAACTCACAGCAATCCTCCTGCCTCAGCTTCCTGAGTGGGATTATGGGCGTGTGCCACCATGCCTGGCTTCATTTCCTTTTGATGCACTCAACAAGGACCAGGTTGTCAGATGACAGAAGACAGAAGCTCTAGTGTTCTCCAGTTGGAAAGCAACGTGGGGGACGTCAGTGACAACTGTCCCCATGACTAGGGCAGCTCAGGCTGTAACAGGTGGCCAGGCTGACTCTTGTTCCCCTGTGAACAAACTCCTCTAAATGCTCCTGAGGCCGGGCTCCTTGAAGTTGCAGCTGTGCTTCCCAGCCTTGGCATTTTTCGGCACACCCAAGGGACTTAGTAGATGTTTGCTCAATGCATCGTAATGAATTTGGAGCTTATTATTCAATTTAAAGTGCTACATTTAAAAAAATATAAATAGATAACTGTTTTTACTAAAAAGCAGAAGGAAACTTTATTGAGACACTGTAGAAAGAACTTTTCTTCTGTTTCTAGGCTGGGCTTGAAGGACTGGTAGGCTGATGATTCTATTTACAGTGAGCTTCCTTCTGATTAGCTAGCGTGTAGCTGTAAATGTACCAGCCCCCAACATGGATTCTAATGTAGTTTTACCCAAAGTCAGAGGCTAGCAATGGAATCCAATTGAACAATTCTCATCTACTCATAGAACTCTAGTTTTTTTAAAGTGTTATGTAAATACATGAATATCAGTGGGAACTAGCAACTGAATTATAAAAATACAAATTAGGAAAAGTACTGACATGAATTAGAGAAGTACTCGCACATTTAATTCCGACAAATGTGGTACTTGAAACTTTATGTGGTTCTTGTAAGCTATAATTGTTTCTACAAAATGCAGAATGATGCCTTAAGATACAAAGTCTGTATTTTTAAGCATTGTTTTGGCTTTGCAAAATAAAACCGTGTGCTTATGTGAATCAGGTCTCATCTTCCAGCTTTAGTGTTTAGTCCAAGGAGCTGACTGCTCAGACAGTGTGGTATTTGAGGTGATGCATGTCCTTCAAATCTGTTAGCTTTTAGTTCCATAAATTAAATCAGAGGAGTGTAGTCATTGCCTGATGACAGGATCTGTAACCATATGGCTGATGTCTGAAAGCAGCCACAGAAATGCCTTGCTTGTTTGGCATGACTGGGATTAAGCTCTTCTGTGTGAGTAAGACTTCCAGCTTCTTTAAAGCAATAGCCTTCAATCATTGCAGCTATAATGGATAAGTATGTTTCTTAAATGTACTGTACACTGTACTTCTCAAACCAGCAGGTTATATCACACTGTTTTCCTTGCTGTCTTGGGCATTGGAACAGGTTCGTGGTCCCTTCATGCTTAAATGCTGTGATCCCAAGGTGGATGGGACACATTGTACCCATGCTAAGTGGCTTTCAGTTGGGTAGTTCTCTAGTGAGCTACATAGCTCTTCCCCAGTTTGCAGAGTGTCTCTCCCCCCTCAGGCTCTGTTGCCTCCTCTCCTGTACTTGCGGTTAGAACTAGGGGATGAAGGGGGATGTCCTGTGTCCCCACAATAATCACAGAGTAACTAATACTGTGCAAGTTGGTGGGGGGGGGCGCTGAAAAAACACTGGAGTGAGCTGGACCCCCAGACCCATGCTGCTCACCCAGAGAAGAGCAGGTTAGCTTCTTAGAGGATCTGGCTACCTGCAGGCCGGTTTGGCTGCCCCGCACTCCCTACACCCTGCTGCCTCTGCTCTATGGTCAGTCTTGTCTCAGGGCATCCCAGAAGCTCCTTTCTCCCCAAGGGATCCCTCCAAGTACCCCCAGCAATATGCTTGGGATTACGGTTGATGTTTCAAGAAAATCTCATTTTTCTGCCTTATTTTGAAAGACAAGCTGGACTCTTGGATTTAAAAGGACACCTTAGATGCAGATGAAAACAACACTGAGATTCCACCTCACCCCACAAAGAATGGATGCTATCAAGAAATCACACAATAACAAATGTTGGCGGGGTTATGGGGAAAAAGGAACCCTTCTGCATTGCTGGTGGGAGTGCAGACTGGTGTAACCACTGTGGAAATCAATATGGAGTTACCTCAAAGAGCTGGGACTGGAGGTTCCATTTGATCCAGCCATCCCTCTGCTGGGTATCTTTCCAAAAGAATTAAAAGAATCCTATCACAAGGATATATGCGCGCTTATGTTCATAGCAGCACAGTCTGTAATAGCTGAAACTTGGAAACAGCCCATCTGCCCATCAGTTGGAAACTGGATAAAGAAGATGTGTTTTTTCTATAAAAGGGAATATTACTCAGCCATAAAGAATAAGAAATTAGATTCATTCATAGGAAGATGGATACATATTGAGGATATACTCCTAAGTGAAATAAGTAAGTCACACATGTGTAAATACGGAATAGTTTCTCTGGTGTGAATAAACTATAATAGTACATAAGATCCTAATGATATAATTGACAATGTGAAATAGGAAGAAAAGGGCTAAAGGTGTAGGGAAAGTGGGAAGGGTAGGGGAAAGGTAATAAGGGAAAGAAAACAATATGAGAAAATGAAAAAATGGAAATAAAATGTTTGTAAACGGGGAGGAGAGGAGGGGTGAAGGGAGGGCAGGGACAAGGGGAAAAAATGAGAACCAAGACCTGTCATGTAAAGGTACAAGATCCCAATGATGAATGTAACTGTACTGTATACCTAAAATGTACCAATAAACTCAATGAGGAAAAAAAAAATAACACCTTAGTGCCCTTTTCTGACCCGGTAATGACGTAAATGAGCTGGCAGAGTCTTCATGTCCTTGCACAGACCTAAAGAAGCCCTTTGCCTCACAAGCGCAAGGACCCGAGTTCAATCCCCTGTACCAAAAAAAAAAAAAAAAAAAAAAAAAAGTCCTTCGTGGGTTCAGCCCCTTGGGACCACGCCTCTGCCTCACCCCTGCGATGCTGCCCCCTGGCGGCGGGAGCCAACTCCGCAGAGCGACTTTGGGATGTCTCAGCAAGTTAAAGCACTTATTTTGAAAAGCAAATATATTAAATTTATAGAACTTTATAGAACCTTATAGAATCCCTAAATATACTATTTAACGCTTATATAGTATAAACAGTTCTATGAAATATTTAGATTACTTTTAAAATCTTACAATATTCATGTGGTAGTAGATTGGCTTCTTTTTATTTTTTGCTTTGCTGTAGTTATATTTTGATTCTTATATATATATTTGTTTTGGTCATAGCATCTGTATATGTGGATATGAATGTATACATATAAGAGTAAATATATCTCTATATATGATTTAGGAACTAAGGTATCTATGTATTTTTATGGTATATATTATAGAATAAATTTTAGGGATACATACTAATAAAGAGAAAAATTTAAAAAGATATAAATATCTACTGAAAATAAACTAACAATAAAATTCTAAAATTAAGGAAATATTATCCAAGTAACCTTACAGTTCCACCCTCCTGGATTGTGGAGCGTCTGAACCTGTTTTCCTCTTTGTGTCAGGTCAGCAGAGGGGTTACTGTGGTTCTATGATACTTGGGGAATCTGTTTGAGTGTCTTCCCTGCCCTGACCCCAAGGCCTCTGGGTGAGGAAGGCTGTGGGCTCCCTCAAGGCTGCCAGTGGCACTGCTCAAGACCTCGTCAGCCTCCCCTTCAGGAAAAGCCCCTTCCAGGACTATATGCTGCCCTGACTATGACACCAGGGCACCTGACTGAGCACCCCTTCCCATACCCTTCTTGGGCCCAGCCTCTGTCTGTGTTCCCTTGGGAATGCAGAGGTGGCAGTAGTGGGGACACAGGAGTCGGAGCGTCACAACTCTAGGATGGCCATTTCACCCTAGGCCACCTCAGTCTCCCATATGCCCACTTGTTGATCACCAAAATCAGCAATGAGGCCTTGAATCAAGGCTGCCACTGTTGCCCTTGCTGGGCACATGTACACACTCTTTCCTTCCTAGAGGCCCCATGGGTACCTGTAAGCCCAGCTAGGGCCACGTGTACAGTGAAGGATGTCCGCCCAGCTCTGGCCCATGGATAGCCAGGGAGTGCTTGTCCTTGTTTCGCTGTCAGTTGGAAGGGAGCAGCACAAGGAAATCAGTGCTGAATAGCTGAATCACCTTTCCCCTGACCAAGAGTCCCCACCCCAGCAAGAATTCCCATCATCCTTGTGTGAACTTACCCTGTATGTCCATCATTTCACAACCCAGGCTGTCATCTACATATCGGTCTGCACCAAGCCGACCTTCTGCACGTGAAGACAACCCCACGGGGCCTCCTCCTCCCTCACACCCACCCCCTGCTCAATTCCACCACCAAAGACCACACCAAAGGGCTCTCCCCTTCTTCCTCTCCCTGTTCCACCTCTTAGATGCTCCATGCCAAGGCCACACTGCACAGCTCTCCTCTCACTCACTCCTCTATCACTCACATCCTGTATGCAAAACCACATGCAAAGCCTCCACCTTTTTCTGCTCAATCTTGGGCTGCTCAGTTCCACTCCACTCATATTTCTCTGCTGTCACTTGTTGTCACGTCTCCAAGGAGAGGTGGGACACCAGATGGCAGCTGTACCACGGTCCATCACCTTATGGAATCCTGGTGTTCAAGCTCTTCAGACTCAGGGTCCGTGTGATGCAGGAGATCTTGCCTGACTCTGTGCTCTTGCACCACATGCCATCCCATCTGAACCTTCCCTCCCCACTGTGATGTTACAAGCCCCCTCCTTCTCTGGCCCCCTACTGAGTGATCAGTCAGAAAAGCATTTTGTTGTGGTACGTGTTTAAGAGTAAAGCAAAACGAAGAATCACATAACCAAAAATCCCTACTTCTTTTCTTCTTTCATCTTCTGTTCTTTCTTTCCTTTTTTCTTTTCTGTTGGCATGAGGGATTGAACTT